ATGTTAGTTGTTTGGAAAACTTGTTTAAGGAAACAAGCTTTGTTTCTCAGTACTCATTTCTTAAAGTAAAATCTAAGTTTTAACCTGTTTTTAATTATTCTGCATTGCAGAACAATGGCTGCTCAAGAGCATGTCTGGCCAGTCCCAATGAAGGCAATTGGAGCACAAAACCTTTTGACAATGCCTGGAGGAGTGACCAAATCAGGGTATCTTCATAAAAAAGGAGGCACCCAGCTGCAGATCTTGAAGTGTAAGTTGAATGAGGTATTAACTGAACTAAATGTTTTAAATGCATGCCATTTGGAACATTAACGCATTTCATGTTAGCAAACTGTTTAATGAAGCTGTTCTTCCACTTTGTCTGTAATGGATTACGATTTTACTGGAAGGTGTGTGTGAAAGACCCATATTGAAAGAATTTCCTTTTAATTGTTTTGGAACTATAAATCTTAGATTATAAATGTTGTGGTTGATTTACTGGTTAAATCTCTTGTCTGGACCTTTAGAAGTAAGATTTTAAAGACAGAAACAGATTCCTGGGGTATGTATCAATTCCAAATACTCTTTTTCTAAAAGAAATTAGTACTCAGTTTTTTTCCGAGTTGGTTATTCTGTACTGGAAAAATATCCCCATCTCCTCCTGCTGTTGTGAAATGGAGATTTTCGTACTGCCAATATTAGGCTGTACTTAAAACCGCAATTGCTTCTGGAATCAGAATCTATCTACATGGAGAAAACTTAAGATTTTGCGTTTATTTATATGCTATTCATGTTTTTAACTAAAATATATGTATGTAGTTAAGGACAAAGATTACTGCCTTTGATAAAGGAAGAAATGTTGGCCCCTTTAAAAAAAGAGAATAAACCATCGTTTTATTGGCAGTTCTATGTACTTGAGGTGAAAGAAGATAAGGGGATGCCATCATGGTCCCCCATGAGGGAAGCAAATACTACCCTTCATCCTGAAACTCTCTGAATGGATAGCTTTACCATGTGGCCAGTCATCAACAAGCTGTCACTTACCTAGTTTCTGCTCTTTTATAATGATTAATAAGATTACTAAAATCTTAAACAAAAATTCTACCCAAGTTAAGAGGTTCTAGTTAATGTAGTGCCTTTGGATTTATATTTTGCTTACTTTTTTTCTTTATCTTTTCAGGGCCATTGAGATTTGTGATTATCCATGAGGGATGTATTTACTATTTCAAGAGCAGCACATCTGCATCTCCGCAGGGTGCATTTTCTTTGAATGGTTACAACAGGTGAGTGCCAAACTCCTTTTACTTGATGCATGGGGTTATGGTTTTCCTTTCCATCTAAGTTAAACTCAACTACATCTGTTGTTTGGGTTAAGCACTGATCTCAGATTTCAAGAGATGTATTCTTTTAAAATTGTATGTATGTAGTTTCCTGTGCTTTTCAAGTGTGTATATATAGTCTTCATTTTTTGTAATTTAACCAGTAAAGCTGTTAAAATTGCAATGGGCTTACTCTCACTGACTTAATGCAGACTTTGCACGTGCAGATACATGTGGATTCTTTCAGACAAATGCTCCTTGTTCTCTAGTGATTTCAATTATCATCACAAAAATAGAAAGGAATCAGAAAGGAATATTTTTGGAGTTACTGGTTCAGTAACGTTAATTAGTGTCAAAATGGAATCAACTACAGGAGTGATAAATGAGAGATTGCACGTGCAAAATATCAGAGTCATTTTGCTACACGTTATAGATCTTAATATTGGCTTTTTAAGTCGAAGACAAAAACAGTGGCTTTCAAGTTAAGCAGTACTATCAGAATCTGACTGAATGCAGAATACAATAGAAATCCAACCTAACTTTAGAAAATTGCTGTTGTAATTGATGCTGAGAAAGGACTAATGAGAGAGAGAATATAGAGAAATAACATAAATAATAGTGGTCCTAACCACTTATTTATTTGTAAACATGTATGTTATGCTTGTACTACATAATGTTCTCAGACTTCTGCAATAAGGAACTACATGACAGCTTTCTAACTGACCACAACAATGGCATATTTTATAGGAATGCAGTTGTAAGCATTGTAGCTAGTTGAAGATTCAAGGTTCATTTGTATGAGCAACCTATATTGTAACTGGGCCATGACACTAGCTTCTGTAATCACATGAATTTAAAACATACCATGGAAATTTGTAAATGCTAGGGATTGTCTGATTGTTTTTTATATATCTGCATTTTGGCAACCTTTTAGAGACCTTGGTTGGAACTAGGACCAGGTCTTCGTTAGTGTTGTGCACAGACATAGGCATTATTGAAAAAGAATTTGAAATTGAAGAATTTCTTCAACTTGGTAGTCACATACGGTTGTGTGAAAACAAGTAACTCTAAGGCTTTCTGTGACTTCTGTTTTGCAGTTTTCATTCATAGCCTTTAAGAGTGGACAGGAGATGAGAAAGTGCTGTGTTTGCTAGTGATGCCTATTGCTAGAATTCCTCCCAGCTGTACCATGGGTATTTCCCACATTTACATCCTTAGTAACCTTACATTAGTAAAATAACTTACAGTTCCTTTTGTGGCTTTGTTTTGGACTGGGCAGATGCAGGAAAATTCAACCTTCAGCGTAAAAGTAGGATTGGTGTTCTAAAAAACATGTGATCTCTAATTCTGAAAGCATTTTGCAGTTGACAGTGTTCTTAGTGGCAGCTTCAGGGTGTTGATTAAATTTTATTTTTTTTTCCCAAAGAATCACAGAATAGCATGGGTTGGAAGGGACCTTTAGAAGTCAGAGTCCAGCCTCCTTGCAATGAGCAGGGACATTGTCAACTGGCTCAGGTTGTTCAGAGCCTCATCCGACCTGACAAAGGGTGGAGCATCCACCACCTCTCTGAGCAACCTGTTCCAGTGTTTCACCACAGTCACTGTAAAAAATTTCTTCCTTACATCTAGTCTGAATGTGCCCTTTTAGTTTAAAACCATTACCCCTTGTCCTATCACACCAGGCCCTGCTAAAAAGTCTGTTCCCATCTTTCTTATAAGCCCCAATACTTATCAGTATTGAAAGGCCAAAACAATGTTATCTTGTGGAGGTACCTAACCAAATGTCTCTGATCATCTTTTTTTCTGCATTTACAAACCACCTTCCCTAAATAGTTAGGACTTATGGAAATACTGTATTATATTAGGAAATTGGTGAGTTAAAAGTCTGGGAACAAGAAAGAAGGCCCCAATAATGGTTGTAAAAAAATTATCAGATTTCTGTATGGCTTATGCTGAATAAATCTTAGAAATGCTACTTTCAGATTACCCACAGTCTCCTTATTTGTTCTAAAGCCTTACAGTGAGCATTTACAACCAAATTTGTGTGTGTGTAAGGAATTTCCTCATTTGAGACTCCTCTGGAGAAAAAGAAACAAATATATAATGAAGTTTGTGAAAGAAGTTGAGTTATACTTATTTTAAAATAATAAAGTGCAAGAAAGTGTTTATATGGGAAAAGTGGAAAAAATAAGTTAACTTTTAAGATTAGTTCTCATTTATTTTCATGGGCAACCTGTGTTCTGATTTCTCCTCTATGCCTTTCTGAAATTAGGCTCACAGGCACTCTAAAGACTTCTTGCCATGCTGTGAAGCTTGTGAATTAATGCAATTCATTAAAACCATAGAACAAGTGCAGACAGCCATTTTTAACTCTGGCTGGTGGTTTAACGAGTGCTTTTTCTCCTGCCAGTGCTCTTGCATTGTCCTTTCTACCACTTTAATAGAGAACTACAACAGATGCAGATATGGGGAATTTGATGGCATTTTTCTGGGCTTGAGGGTTATTTTTTGTAAGGCAAAACTGACTGGTAAAACTGCTTTTTATCAGAGCTTTATGACTTGCAGAGCAGAGTTAACTTTATAGATGAAGGTTTTTCTATATTGGTGGTTCTGTTCCTCAGGGTTATGCGGGCAGCTGAGGAGACAACATCAAGCAATGTGTTTCCTTTCAAGTTAGTTCACATTAGCAAGAAGCACAGGACGTGGTTTTTTTCAGCTTCTTCTGAAGATGAAAGAAAGGTAATTTTCTTTTTCTTTTCCAATATTATTTTCCTTGAAGCAGAAAGCAAATCTTAGACTTCACTAAAATCCAAATGAACTGTACGTGCAGCTGTCACTGAAATTTGTATGCCTAGTTCTTTGGGCTCCTCTGAAAATCATGTCTGAAGTTTTAACTACTAAGTATTAGTTCAAGTTGTAGTTTAGGGAATGGCTATAAGTGACACACTAGATGTCATGGTTTTCTCCATATTGGTCCTTTTAATTTTAGCCAAGAAACAAATACTTGTATGTTAAACATTTGATAAAGTAGGAAAACTGTTCAGTGAAATCCCCCACCCATAAACATACTATGAACAAATACCTGGCTTTAGAAAGAACAGCTTGAATGTCACAAACTGAAAGTTTAATACACTAATACATTCTTAAAGCATTTTAGATAGTCAAAACATTTTAACTGGTAAGTCCTCTCAATGTATATATAAAATCATGCATAAATACTATTTCAGTGTAAGTTCCTTGCACAGTTACTCTGTTCTTACCGAGGACAGATACTGTGCATCTTTGTTTAATGACTTAAAGATGGATGTGTTGAATGTTGTATTTTTATTCTCATTTAGAATTGGATGCTGTCCTTGAGGAGGGAAATCGATCACTACCATGACAAGAAAGAAACAGTAACAGAATTCAGGTATCAAACCTTAATCTTTATTTGCTTTTTATCCCTTTCACACTAGCTCTTGACAACAGTTTTTTAGGCTCTTTGCACCTACAAGTAAGTTACCATTAAATAAAAACAGGTGCTGTACGGCCCAAGAATGAAAGGCCTTCATAACACTTATTTTTGTCTTGGTATTCTTTAAACTGAATCTTTTTACTAAAAGAACTTTAAATGTCAGCTTTGTGTCAAACAAATAAAAACCTTAAAATGACAGAAGCAACGTATCTGGCTGTTAATTGGGAAATAGGAACAGATTCCTTCTGGCTTTGCAGTGTTGCAGTCCTGCTAACAGACATGATTACTGTCCCAAGACCCATAGCACAGTGGTGCAGAAGGAACTCTTGTCTTTTCTTTTGCAGTGACTCTGGTTCGGATGCAGACAGTTTCTATGGCTCCGTAGAACGTCCCATTGATATCAAGTATTCTCAGCATTCAGCAGATAATGAAGGTGACAAATTAGACACTGATAACTAAGATTGATTTCTTTGGTTATTTATTTCTTCTGCAGGATTCTGCAGGAACTATTCCCATAGCTTAAGTAAACTCATCCATTTTGCAACTATAAATTCTTGTTTATACAAGTTGTGTAGTTGTTGTAGCTTTAAATCAGAAGTGGATATTCTGTGCCATAAATCATTAGTGGAAAAAAAAGTGATAACTAAAGAAATTCAGATCATTCAAGGAGGTGTCTGATACTCTAATTTAAAATTTTTATGAAGACTGCATGTTGGAGACTTCATAGGTCTAGCAGAAAGATGCAACTTTTGAGTATGTCCATAGGTAATAGTGTGGAAATACACAGTGCTCTTTATTGTGATAATTGACTATTATTGACAATAATTGAATATAATTGTAACAGATATTAGTCACTTAAAGTTATGTTCTGAAAACACGCAGAGGCACTGCAGTAAAACATTGTGGAGCTAATTACCTCCTATCTAGACTGTAGAATTAATTAACCTGTCCAGCAAAACATGTAGTCACCCATGCTGGGATGTTATTGCATCTGTGTTGTAGTCTGTTTAGTATGAAACAGAATTGATCATCCCTCTTCCACTTCAGGAAGATGTTACATTAGGCATAGGATGGGCTTATGTTAAACACATAGGGTTAACATTCTTCAATGACTTTCAAACTGAGTCACTTTTTGAAGTAAGGCTCTGAAAATCTCGTTCTTAGCATAGCCTTTTTTAGTCAAAAGTATGATACCTGTTTGTTGCTGTAGCTGTTTCACAGTAAACAGTTCTGGCTGAGTGTGTTTGGAGCAAGTATTGTGTGATTGCAGCAAGTATTCTCATTTCCTGAAAGGAAATTCCTAACTATTTTTCCTGACTAGGACAAAAAGGCAGGAGTGAGTCTTGTTAGGAAGTGCAGTTCAATTGCTGCAAAGCAGAGGAAAACAGACTCATCAGCATTTCATGTAGGATTGTAGTTTAGTACTTCTGTATTTAGGGGAGGGAAGGGTTGTATGCCATATGAATTATGATAAGAAGCGTATTAGGAGTTTAAAGTAGGAAAATTAGAGCTAACTCATTTTTATCAGATACTCTTACCTCTTTATGTTGTTGTTGTTTGTTTTTAAAATGCATTTCTCTGGGGAACTACTGCATATTGTCCTTGAGGCTCCTATCGCAGTCAATGCTGAGAAATTACTGTCTAGAAGTTGCATGGTTTTCATGTCTTGATTATTCTGGCTTACAGTTAGAGGCAGCATTGAAACCATCTAAGCCATTTGTTGTGGTGCATTTTTTTTTGTGGCCAGAGTAAGGCAAAAGAATCAATTGTTTTGTAGATCACAAGACTTGCTTAGGCTTCTGTATTGCAAAATCATCAATGTTTCTGTGTTAGGGTTAGGTTTTGGGGATTATTTTTTTCCAGCTGGTTTATGTAGTTTTGTCTCTGCAACTGATTTGAATTTTTCTGAGGAAGGCTATAACACTAGAAACTTTCATCAGAGAGTAAATATTAAGTTGAAAATGGAGAAAATGTAATGTGCAGTATAATTCATCTCCCACTGTTGTAAGCAATGGCTTTCTTAATCAACATCAAAATTTAAGAAAAGATTTATTCTAAATAGCAGAGAGGTGGACCAAAATTTTAAATTTTTTTCACCTCTTAAATAAAAAATAATGGAAAATATTTGTTTATGAAAAAGCAGTAAGTAGTCCGTATTCTTTATTGGTTCCAGGAGTATTTATCAGAATCTGACACATTACTTTTTATCTGCAGATTACGACCAGGAGGAAGAGGATGAATCTTACTTGCAGCCAGATACTGACATAGTGAAAGATGGTACGTGATTTCTTTTATTCCCTTCACAAAAGGCCCTGTAAATGGCCACCAACAAAGGCAATATTCATGTAGAATGCCAGATTATTATTTTGTCTTGGTCATATTTTAAGCGTTGCAGGTGGTAAAATAGCTGAAGTAATGCACAGGTGTCTGATCTTGAGAGGTATTTAGAGTCAAAAGACTCTAGTAACAGCAGTAACAACTGACAGAAAATGCTATGTGCCATTAAGGGCATGTTTTCTCATAGGCCTCCTGCCCTGGAAGGACTTGTATCTGGTCATCAGTCTGGAGGAAGGGTAACGCTTTTAATGTAGTATTTTTTTCTTTATCGTTAGCAAAGGGAGAATGCCTTGCCAACTCATCATAAGCCATGTCTGAATAAAAACTGCAGGAGATTACTACATGTAACATTCATTGGGCTGAAAGTAAAATGCTTATCCAGCATTTTGGGCACTGTCAGGCCAGATGCCAATGAAATGTCTTAAATCACGCAGAAAATAAATTTGAAAAGTCTTGTTTTGTGACATACTGTATTTCCACTCGGTGTGTCATGTTTTTTGGATGTTTTCTTTCTGTAGATATGGTCCTGCCTCCAGCCTACCCACCTCCACCAGTACCTCACGTCAGAAAAGCTGCCTACTCAGAATCAAGGGCAAATTCCTTTGCTGGAAAACCTACTATGCCGGTACCACCACCGCCTCCTAAAAGAAGCTTACCTGACATCAAACTAGAGGATCCCTTAAACGTGAGAGAACCCCAGTTACAGTGCCGAGCTGAACCTAATCTAAAGAGTCAATTCTCAAGCCGGAGACTCAGTGAACAGCTGCCCCCTGTACCCCCTGTACCTGTTTTCAAAAAGCCTGTGTGTGTCAAAGAATCTTGCCCATTGCCTCCAGAGCCTCTGCCTCGAGCTCAGGTTCTTGCTACTCCAGAAGGATGCGAGAAACTGAAAACCTTAAACCTTTCACCACGAACTCCTCCTCCGCTACCGAGCAATAAACCGAAGCTGTCACAGTTTCCTGAAAAACCAGTAGAGCCCAAAGTGCCAAGAGAACATGGTAAACCTGGACTGTTTGTGCCACCAGTGCTCCCAAAACCACCAGTGCCAAGCCACCAGCCTCCTGCAATCAAGCCTAGACCAGAGAAGCCTTTGTGTCCCCAGTTACAGTAAGTATGAAGACACAACGCACTGTTAAGTTTTTCCATTGTGTTTTCATGTTGACAGACATACTTCTCAGATTCACACCAACATCTGCTTCTCTTCTCTGCACCATCCCTCTATTCATCACAGTGTTGTGCTTTTTTTGCCTCTGTATTTATTATTTGAAAATTTTGCAGTGAGTTTATCTTCTGAAATAGTTCAGAAAGAAATAGCTAAACTAAACTTTTAAAAAAATATATACCAACATTTTGTAGTTCATTTGTTTTCACGTCTGTCTTAAAGACTTAAAATCCTTTGATCGCAGTGAATAAGAAGTGTTCATGTTGGAACCCCAGTGGACTGCAAAAACAATGTTAGGCTTCTGTGGAGATGGGAAATGTTTCATTTTACAGTAAGGTTAGCTCTAGTAAGGGATGTGGAACTAGTTATGGCAGTGAGTCAGATGAAAATATTTTTGTTCATTGGATCGTTTAGCAGCTCTGAAGAGCAAGTAATAACTCTTTCAAGACAGTACAAGGACCGATATGCTGGATCGAGTCCAGTGGAAGGGCCATCAAGATGTTTGGGCTGTAGCACATGTTACGTGAGATGAGGCTGAGAGAACTGGATTCATTCAGCCTTTAGGAAGGCTAATGGGAAGTCACTACTGTCTACAACTACTTAATGGGTATGGAGAAGGGAGAGCAAGAATTCAGAGGTCTGCAGTGGTAGGATAAGAGGCACCAGGCAGAAGTTACAACCGGGGAAATTAGAGCTAGGTATTAGGAAAAACTTCTCACCATGTGGATGGTGAAACTCCAGAACAGGTTGCTGTGGAGAGGCCATGAAGTCTCCATACTTGGAGATACTCAGAACTTGACTGGACACTGGTTCCTGAGCTACCTGTTCTAGCTGGATGTGCTTTGTGCAGGAGCTTGGACCAAATGATCTCTAGAGGTCTCCTTCTAACCTAAACTAACCTGTGATTGAGGGGCTAAACTGAAACTTGCTCTTCAGTTCTAGTTGTAGTATCCTTTCAGTGTTTTATTTGTTTCATTTTCCTGAGGAGATGTCCTTCAGTTTTTGTTCTGTTTCTGCCAGGAGATCACCACCAGATGGACAGAGTTTTAGAAGCTTCTCATTTGAAAAACCAGCACTACCTTCCAAGCCAAACCAACCTGATGATGATTCTGATGATGACTATGAAAAAGTAAGAGCAAGCAGATGATCCATTCTCGAAGAGTATTTTTCTTGCTTATATATGCATTTGGGAACATATTAAATGCGTACTTCAGGGAAAAAATAACTTTCTGAAAACATAGTGCTGTGTGATGTGTTTGGGGTTTTTTGTGATTTTTTTGTTGCTGCTGGTTTTTTTGTTTGTTTTTTTTTTTACTTTAAGGAATGCCTTTATAAATTTGGGATTTCAATCTTGACATAAAGGAGGAAGAATCATAAAGTAAAGATTAAATCAGTGTTTATAATTTCAGATACTGACGGCTGTAGTTTATTTGCGTAACACGTTGCTAGCATTTTGAGTTGTCATTGACGTACACAGTGATTTATTTTCCTCATATTTTTTACAGGTTGGGCTGCCTGCTTCGGTATTTCTTAATACCGCTGAATCCTTCGAAGTTGAAAGGTAGAATGTGACTTTTAAAAGTTGCTTAAAAGTCCTACAAAAACCTGCACTGTACAGTAGTCCAAAGCTAATTTTGATAGGTACAATTTGTGTTTAAAACCACAAAAAAAGTATTTCAATTCCTTTAATATGGAGCTCACTTTTTAGGGGAGTTAGCTCAGTGCTTGTGTATCAATTGAAAATGCATGCTACTTCAAAGCGATTTTGCTCCATCTGGAGAAGGTTGGATGGGACAAAAAGCCAGATCTTCTGGGCTGCATTGCTGGTTCAGATAGCATCGGTGAAACTCTTTCAGCTATGATGTACTAGGAATTATTACAACCAAAACAGAGATTTGTAATAAGAATTTTAAGAATGTAGGCATTTTACTTATCTGATGCAGAAAATGCTAATATATGTAATTGCTTTATTTTTAGGACATTTAAAGCTAGTAGCCCACGGGGACAACCGCAAAATGGATTGTACTGTATTAGGAACTCCTCTACAAAGCCTGGAAAGGTAACTTGCAATTGCTGAATCTACTCCCCAAAAACTTTTTTATTTAGAGATACTGTATTTTATAAGTGATAAAGTACTTAACAATTTAGATGTGCTCTCTCCTTAAAGCAAGAAAATCTGAGACAATCACTGTCATAACTTCAGTGATTTTTTTTTTGTTTGTTTTAGACTGGATTGTAACTAATTCCTTAATAATACATTGGCTTAGAAGAGCTTGTTAGCATAAACTGAGTATGTTGCATTTTTCTTCTTCAAGGTATTGGTTGTATGGGATGAATCTGCAGAAAAAGTAAGAAACTACAGAATCTTTGAAAAGGTTAGTAACTGCTCTGCGTGCATGTATACATGTATGAATTTCATGTGTGTATATATATGTGTGAGAGTGTGAAGTGTGAAACTTGAAACTGACAAGTTAAAGTCTAATCTTCTTCCCATTCCCTAATAGTAAAAATAAGATGATTTACAAGTATCTGGTCTAGGATGAGAGTGTGAGTACTCAGATCTGGGCTTTCTAGTTGCTGTATCATGCAAAAGACAAATATTGTAAATGTTCATATCTAAATTTCAGCTCCAGTCAAATCCTAAAGGAAGGAATATTAAATTCTTGAATTTAATTTGGACTTATTTGTGTGACTAGTTTGCAAAGCAGTAGCTTGTTTGAAAGAACTTCCTAGTTCTGATGATGATATCTTGGAGTTTTTTGTTTAAAACATTGAGTTGGAAAAATTACTGTCAATGATTACTTATGTTTTTGCTCTACAACCACAGGACTGCAAGTTTTACCTGGATTCAGACATGATGTTTTTGAACATGGGAAGTTTGGTCGAATACTATAGCACTCATGTCTTACCTAGTCATGACAGCCTGATTCTTCGGTGTCCTTATGGTTACTCTAAACCCAGGTGACATGACACTGCCTTTGAATGAAATGTGGACGACTGCCACTGCTGGACATGCCACTGTTTGCACACAGAAACTGAGTCTGTTTCAATAATTTGTTCTCCCATGAATTGTATATAGACTCCATTTAATGAACTCCTGGTAAAACCTTACAATCCAGATCAGTGGATTTTCTCGTCTTGTCTTTTTGAAAAGACCTGAAGTCATTATGCTGTGAAAGCTGTCCACGATACCTACACCTTTCATAAAACTGCTGCTATTCCTAATCTCCTTGGAATATGGAAGATGGACACAAAGAAAGAAGTAGTCTGAGTACAACCAGTACAGAAAAGGGAAACTTCTGAAAGTGTATCAGAATTAACTTGTGACAGGGAATACTAATACTCTGACTTGAAGGTATTACTCCTTAAGTCAGCACTGGTGCTCAACTGAGAGTTTTTGTGTTACTTGTATAGTTGGCATGTAAATAATGAGGACTTCTGTGCAACTAATGTTGTTTACTATAGGTAAAGATGATCAGGAAATGTGGCTTTTTTTTAAGCCACCTCATAGGTAAATGTAACTTCTGATTACGATGTTTGCAGTAATCAATATCAGGGTATTATCTAAGTGATATGGTTGTGGCATTCCACATATTACTTACTGATGTGCACTTCAGGTATGTGTGGAGTAATATTTACTGGCTTTTTTGGGAGCCCCATTACTGAGTTCTGAACTGGAAGGGAAGGTGCCACTAGTATTTGTAATGGGTATGAGAAGAAAGAAAGGACTACTTAAGATTAAGGGGGAAAGGAAAATTCTTTTGAATACCCCAAGTTCTGATTAGCAGTTTCCTCCCACATTGCCATCATCAAAAGTTCTTTAAAACAAAACACAAAAAAGACCCTGAAACCATGAGTGTGGTGCTACTATCACTTCATAAATCCTTCTTGTCAGTCTTTCAGGATCAGATTGTCAGCCCATTGCATTCTGTTATGTTCTAGGGCAGAATATACTGCCCTAGGCTACTTTTTGTAGTTCAGCAACAATTTTTCTATTATTAAACTCAGTTTGTAGTTGCATGCAAAATAAAATCTGTTTTTAACATTCTATCAGCACTATCAGACCATCGGTCATAGGCATTAGCAGGGTGCTTGCAATATTTGTTCCCTAATATTTTGGGGACAGATATCTTAAAACCAAGGGCTAGGTATTTATGCCAAAATTACCCTATGCTTAAGTTTTAATAAAGAAGGGAAATACGTTTTAATGACCTGTTAAGTAACTTTGTTGATTTGAATTTGATTCAAAAGTACTGTTATGATGGTCTCATATCTCTAATAATGTTTACAAGACTTGTAATAACTTTTAAAAAATAATCTTGTCACTCCTGAAACAGGAGATGGTATCGAGATTCTATCAGTCTGAATCTGTATCCATAAACTTCATTCTTTCTGTTACCTTTTTAAAGTTTATACATGTCGGTTTTAATCTGGTTACGCTTAGATGGTCGCAACTTTAAAAACATAAACAAAACCATTACAGAATAAGAATTTTCTGTTTATGAAAACAGTAAACCAGGACTTAATCCCTAAGGGATTTTCCTTAATAAAGAGATGCAATATTAGAGCCACACTTAGGAATCGAGGCAAGAAACTCTGCCTCTATCTTTTGCAAGAGACACAGACATACACAACATCGGTCTTTTGATCCCTATTATAATATGCAGTACTTAAATTTCAGATTGTGATGGATATTTTAAGTTTCTAACTCATTTTATTTTGAATGAGTATCCCTGTGGTTCACCACCCTGATACCATCCCCTCTGGTTATGTATGTCAGAGCAAGTTGTAGTTTCTTGCAGTATGTACACATAGAGTTCACAGAGTACATTTTTCTCTGTTTGGGAATAATTGACTTCGTGGTGTCATGACAGGCATACTTACAGTGTGCGATCTTTGGGGCCCTATTCAGAGATTTAATTTTTTTTGCAACCATATACTCGTAAGATTTTTAAACTGTAAAAATACTTACATAATTCTATACATATAAAACATAACACTGCCTTTACCTGTGTAATACAAGATTTGCAAATATGTACATTTTTGTGTTAATTTCCTTTTTTATATAAATGTATATATTTCTGAAGTGGATAAACTTTCAATGCCAGTTCACCTCATTTTGTGCAGTCATCTTTAACTTCATGGGTGTGTGTTTTAATGCTCTTGTTTGTAGTTGTGTTAAATAGTGCTTGATTCTTCTAACTTTGCAGTTAGAAGAATTAGTTTTCAGCCTCCTTAAGAAGCAAATCTTCACGTAAGCAACACTATCAGAAATTTGGCGTTGTGATCATCAGACAGCGTGGCTGGGGGTGGAAATTACTCATTTTCCATTTACTTCAAAGTTTCCTGAGTGCAGAGTAGGAGGTATAGGTAAGGACGTGCTAGGTAATCCCCTCTTCCCTCCAGAAACAGGTAGAAGGGTTCCAAACAAATCTGCAGTCATTTGTGCTCTCTTTTCCAAGCCATTTTTCTCCTACCTACTAGTGTAGTCTTTTTTTAATGTAGGAATAGATGAAGTTAAATTTCTGGTGTTTGTAGGGAGGAAACCACAGCTAGAATGCATAGCTCATAGTCTGTTTCCTATACCTTTTGCTAACCTGTCTCTCCTCTTTCCTTCACTGCAAATCAGCCTCTTGCATATACAACCTACTGCAAGCTCCTTAGCTTTAAAATAGTTCATTGAGAAGTGTAAGATCAGTATTTGCTATGCCTAAAAATGCAGTTTGCGTCTTTGGTAGTATCCAAGTCAAAATAATTGATACTAGTTTTGGAAAAAGACTTGCCTCTTCTATCTAAACTTCCAAGAAAAAGTATTCCAGGTGATATTTGTGGGGGGATTGGTCTATTAGGGGGGGAAAAAGTTCTTTTGAAAATAAAAGTTTCAACAAGGGACTGTCAGTCAATAGGAAGAGTATCATTAAAAAAACCAGTGATCTGATATCCAGGCAATTTTTCTATGCTAGTGAAGGCTGTTTGTGACAGCAGTGTGGAAAGTACTCCCTAGTTCAGAACTTCAGTTCTTACAAGAGTCTAAGTAAGCAGTGAGAGTATTCATGGCCTCTGGCGCTTGGTGCTTTGGAAAGTTCCAAAGGGCTGTAAAAATCTCCGCAGGTTTAAGTGGGATTATTTTGAATGTGGGGACATCTGCTGGTCAGCCTCATCCACGCAACGGGGATACAACTGTATGCAAAGGAGTCATCTGGGTAGAAATCAATCCTGAGGGACTTTGGATAGAAACTAGGGATTAAAGCTTAACTTCAGGTGGAAACTCGATGGGCCAAGCCTTTGAAACTTGAGACATCTTTTGGCTCATGTTTCTCCAATAAGTAGCAATGTTACTTAGCAAAATTACTCATCTGAATGTCTTTTAACCTAGATGACAAATTAATGGACTTTTACATTTTTATTTATTTTTTAAATTATTCTTAAAATACAGTGGTATTTTTGAGGTAGAATTTACATAATGTTGGACATCTGAGCACCACCTAAATTGCTGTCATTATGAAGCCTTAAGGAGTTGTTCTGAACACTAAATACTTTACTTGGCAGCAAGCACATCGCGTGAAGTCGCAGTATTTTCTATCTCACTAAATAATCAACTCCTTGAAGTCAAGGAGGATTTTTCCCTAGCAATGGGAGTCCTTGAGATGAACATGAGTACAACCTCTTAAATAGAGCTCGTAGTTCTTTTACTAGCAAATAGTCAAAGTACCAAAATGTCAAATAGCAAATGCTACTAAAAATCTTTGGAGTAGGTAGCATTTTGGCTCAATTTAAAACTGGGTGAACCAAAGCGATTAAGTTCAGTGGGCTTAGGGTAAATGGTAAGTCTTGTCACATAGCCAGCCCCAAAATCTATTCCTTCAGGCCTTCCATTCCTGTATCTTGGTTACAGGATGGTCATTACTGTCCCTTACCCATACCTCCTTCCTTGTTTTACTCTCCCTGGTCTGTTTTTAAGACCTGCCTCTTCAAATTTCTAACTTCCATTAGTGGGCCTTCTCCTACTGCTAAGGATGAAAATGTCATCAGAGGAGCAGCTAAAAACAATCTCAGCAGCTCTAGTGACACGGGAATTAGTATAGAAGCAACTTGCAGAGAACATACATCTAGAAGGCACATGATGCTTAGGAAGTCTTAAATGTTGCAATTAAAATAACTGGCTTTACTTGGAAAAGGAGTTTGGAAAAACAAACCCAAACCTCCACAAAGAGTGTTGTAATGTTAAAAGAGAGTTGGTTGCTTGAGTTCCTTTTGGCTAAAGTAACCATCGTACCTTTGGTTGTGTTCAACTGAAATTGTCATTAGCCACCTTGAACCATGAAGCTAGATTTACATTTAATCTCAATCATGTATAAATATTTCCTTATGGCCCCTGAGCATAAAGTCAATATTTTTCAAACTTAAAGCCAAAATGGCCTCTCAGCTTAATAGATAGTCTAAATTCTGGCAACATTTAGTAGGCTGCTGTTTGAGCTGCTCTGCCCTTTCCCCACCTGCTGCTTCAATTCTCTTCATTTTGATATTTTTTCAGCTCAAATAAACTTCAGATGTGTTTTTGTTTGGTTGTGGAGGGAGATGAAAGTAGACCAGAATATTTTTCTTTCCTCCATGTAGTTGTTCCACCAAATGTTTCTCAGATATATATACATTAAAGATTGTTTCTATATACTATTTTCAAATCACTGGGAAACCTTCCTTACATAAATCAGTAAAAGTCAATAAAGCAGCTCCTTCCTATGAAGAATACGACTGGAGCTGGGACAGTAGTAGTTTCTAATAGTACTTTTGATATAACCTTACCTACGCTGACTGACAGTAACACTACACATAAGCCATGAGATATTATTCATGCTTTACATGTAGCTGAAGAGAACCCATTGCATAATTTTTAAAAAGGCATCTAAGTTCAATAATTTCAGAGAAAAATCTCTCATGAGCATTTCAGTAGTTATGCTATGGGTG